AGGTCAAAGGTGGAATGGTAGATTTGAGAATCACTTTGCACGGAGGAAGGAGCAAAGGAAGAAAAAGTTGAATGAGAAATGGAGAGGCTGGGAACACAAAGGACACCAACAAAAGAGAAAGACCGTTTGGGACATCAAATCCTCGCCCTCACCCGGCAGGTTCTTGCTCCAGCTCGCGGGCCTCTTGCTTATTTCACTAACACTGCAGCTCTGTAAAAACAATTAATCAGCAGCCTTGGCATGCAAGTGACTCAAAGCCAGGCTGTTCCCTCAAATTATATTACAGATTTTGTGAGCAGAGGCTGGTTGTGATCTGGTGAATTTGTGTCTCCTCCAAAAAGGAGAGAACGGAGACAAATGAAAACAAAGTGCTTCCATCAAGGGGTCCTATCATGTGTCTTACCACATAAGACCATCAACACTCAAAGGGCTGTCTTTCCATCAGAGTCACCCCAGCTCCACCAACAGCAGCAAAGGGAACATAGCACCAAGCAGACCCCAGAGGACATTCCATCAGCGTGAATAATAATAAGGTAGTTTTCTTTGTTGGGTGTTTCCATAGCAACACATGGACGTGATTCTATTCTCCAATTTAAACCCCCATTGCAAATGACAGAGTTTTGGTTTTTTAAACAAATTTCTGCACTGAAATTTGCCTCTTGTCTGTAGGCTTGCTTAATCCACCTGTGTGCAGCCAGCACCACCATGTGGCTAAAGGGAAAAACTTCACCCCCAGTTCCAAAAATTTAAAACTCAAGTGCCTCTTAATATCAAGTTTTAGGATCCCAGTAAAGAGCTGGAGAAGACTTTGGGGAACACTGAATCCACACTCCTTCATGGCAGGATTCTCATCAGATATTAAATGAGTTAATTTCTAGCAGACTGAATAGTTGAGGCCACCACATATTCTAAAAGGCAGCAGAATCTTGCATTGCAAGGATCCCAGCCACAGATCTGATGCCAGCATTAGGCACCTGCCTCTTGGATGCAGACCTTGAGTTGCGGGTCAAGGTCCCCATCCTGTTACTGTCTTTTGGCTGCTTATTACATTTTTGGCTGGCCGCAATTCAAATAAAAAAACTCCTATTGACATCAAAGCAGGGGTGCGGAAATACTGGCCTGCAAGCCATTATACCTGACAGGCTCACACTGCTATATTTACCTGCTCCTCCCAGGTATGGGCGATCACAGCTCCCACTAACTGTGAATCGCCATTCCCAGCCATTGGGAGCTACAGAAAGCTGTGTCCCAATCCCTGTGGCTTCCTGCTGCAACCATTGGCTGGGAACGGTGATCCATGGCCAACGGGAGCTGCAATTGCCAGTGCCTGCAGAGGTACTGGTAAATATAGAGGTGGTGGCCCCTGGCGAGCCGCCATTGTTTTATTGCCCTCCCTGCTTCAAAGGGAGCACAATGGGGCCCATTGTTTCCATTCTCCTCTTAAGTGAAAGGGTATTAGGTTTAACCTGATGGTAGACTGTCATAAATAGTCCAGCATTCAGGGCTAAGGTTATGATGCAGAGGGTCCTTAGCCACTGGAGTAGAAGGGAGTTAAATCAGGATGTGTGTGTTAGCTTTGGTGCCACTGCCCAAACTGGAGCCTTAATCTGGTCTGTTGATTATTTACTTCTTCCCAGGACAGGGTGAGGAGATCGGGGAGGCTGGCCCATGAATTGTTGAGTCAGTACAGGGCTACAGTCCTAGGCTAAGGCATGCGCTAAAGGAAAGCTTAGCATGATTTATTTGCTTTGTATCTGAGTGATGTTCTCCCCCTTGTGGCTGGTCCACAGAGCAGATATGGGACCTATTATTAGAGCTGGCTAAACAAGATCTTATTGTGGCCACACGACCTCTCTGCTTTACTCCACATTCTACTTTTAACTATCTGGTGAGGTCACCCAATCTGAACTCTTCTGTCCCTCCGTTCCTGGGGACCAGCCTCCCCTCCAGTCACTGCAATTGAAGCACTACCTGCCCCTCAATGAGAAAGGAACATGCTCAATTCTCCCTCTCAACCAGCAACACTAGCCAGCTAACGTGCAAGACAGGTGGAAGCCATGCCTGACTAATGCTCCTTTGTGCTAATACAGGAACACATAATAATGCTTCTGCAGCATTGAATTGCTTTTGCTGCATAAACAGCAGAGTCCCAGTACAACATCTTGGGCTCCCAGAGGCTAATTCTTCTGGCAGTAATGTAAATAGAGTGGACACACTGGGGTAACATTCCCAATCCTCATCCCCCTTCTTCGGTGGCATTTCTAATGCCTACACCGCATAGGTAATTTACTCAGCTCTCAAACAGGTAAGTTCCACAAACTAGGGAGGGGGATTCTCTCTGTGGTACAGCACTAGTATTCCAGCTTGCCCCTACAACCGAATAAAACTAAAAACATTTCAAGCCACCTTTGACACCCCTGTAACACACACAGAGTTATATATTTCACTTTCAAAATGTATAACTAAAATACCCTTTATCAGCCCTAAGACACCTGTCTTAGCTTCAGCAGGGCACCTCTGATCATACGGGCCCCTCCTACCACTTCCTGTCTTGTCACCCATAATCTTGGCAATATTCTTCCGAGTGGTTAAATCTCAATCTCTCTCTCTCTAACACATCAGGCACATCTATGGCAACAAGGCTGGTGTGGAAGTTAAAGCTCAAGCTTCAGAAGGACTCTAAGCCTCATGCAAAAGCTTCAGTACAGGTATTTGCAGAGAAAGTGCCTCAGGCAAACCCCAGCTGACATTGGTATCCAGATGGGTGGAGAGAGAGAGCTTTATGAGAGAAAAGATTTGAGAACTCAGCGTATACATAAAGGGACCCTATTTGAACTGCCCTTCCTTCACTTCTAATCAAAACTCTGACAAACATACTACAGAGCAGGCTCGCTAAGTCAACAGCAAACTTCACTATTGACTCAGACAGCAGGGCAGATCCCTGAAGAGACTGGTGCTTTGTCAATATTCTGCACTTTGACTAGCCATCCACCCTCTCTCTCACAGCCAGACACCAAGGAGAGGAAGAACAGCCAGCCAGTGAAACTGTAGAGTTCTGAAAAGGTTAGCTCAGCACAGCCCCTGCTCAGGAATCAGCAAAAACAAACAGCGGGAGAGCTTCTTTTCACGATCAAGTTGTTAATGCGCCAACTCGACCTCTCGCCATAATCTCACTATACCTGTGTATTATCATGCACAAAATAGTGACATTTCAAGCCTCACTTGGCAAATCCTAATATGGACAATGCACTCTTTTAAGGAATCAAACAAGATTTTACTATGCTTTAATGCATGCTGGGGCTCTTAGCAGCTGGTGCTGCATCTGAGGAGTCCATAGACTCACACGGCTACATCTAGACTGGCATGATTTTCCGCAAATGCTTTTAACGGAAAAGTTTTTCCGTTAAAAGCATTTGTGAAAAAGAGCATCTAGATTGGCACGGACGCTTTTCCGCAAAAGCACTTTTTGCGGAAAAGCGTCCGTGCCAATCTAGATGCTCTTTTTCACAAATGCTTTTAACGGAAAAACTTTTCCGTTAAAAGCATTTGCGGAAAATCATGCCAGTCTAGATGTAGCCGTGTGAGTCTATGGACTCCTCAGATGCAGCACCAGCTGCTAAGAGCCCCAGCATGCATTAAAGCATAGTAAAATCTTGTTTGATTCCTTAAAAGAGTGCATTGTCCATATTAGGATTTGCCAAGTGAGGCTTGAAATGTCACTATTTTGTGCATGATAAATGTCTTTGTAAATCTATGGAATGTTCTAGGGGAATTACTTGCCCAGAATTTAAAGCTTCCATCTGTAAAAAAGAACCACCAAGCAGACAAATGTCAGATGCGACACTTAGCATAAATGGGGTGGGGGAGGTAAAGATTTTACTCTGCCATCATTTCAAAATGTACAAGCTACGCTGGTGCAATTTCTAATCTCTGCATAAACAACCCTTAAAAAAAAAAAAGAGAGAGAGAGAATCAATAGCACATCTTTCTCTGACACTGAAGAATCAATACAGGGTGAATTTCCACTGAACAGAAATATACATTTGAAGCATGTAGGCTTGGCTTGTTACTAAGTGTGCATTATGGGGAAAATGTTGTGGAAGGGAAGCAAAATTAAAAAAAAAAAGATTAAAAAGAGAACTCCTACTTGGGCAATCTAAAAAAAGCACTTAAAGCTGAGAGTTAAGAGATTCTTCTAACGTTCCAGAGAGTGGCAGATACACTATTATTTCATCCTTAGCCAGTTAAATATTCTGAAAACACTCAGTGGCCAGGACTCTTCTTCCCCATTCCACCCAGCAATAATAGTTTTCTTCAGAGGGTCTCAAAGTGCTATGTGGATATTCAGTAAGCCTCACGCCACCACTGGAAGGTAGCTATTACTCTTCTTTTTTTACAAGTGGGGAAACAGAATCAGTGAGGTTGCATCTTACCAAGGATTACTCAACTCCCTGATGAAGCTGAGACTGGAGCACAGATTTCCCATTTCTCAAGTCCTCTATTTAACCAACCTTGCTTTAAATATTTGGATAGTTCTTAAACTACTAGACAATACCTTTAAGATTGAGACATCAGTTTTGAACACTGATGTCCATGAAACCCTATGGTCTCTGAGTCTTATTAGACAGGGAAGAGTTTTATTTGCTTTGTTTCTATTTCTGTACAATGAATGAAATGCAATCAAGAAAAAGAATTAGGGTCATGACTGTTAAACGAACAAACAAAAACACTGTGCCCGTAACTTGTTCTTTCAGAAGATTAACGTGCAATTGTAAGGACAAATCTGAGGCTCAGTAAACCTCCCTTGAACTTCCCAATGGGTTACAGGTATAGAGCTGGTATGAACTAGTGTTCTCACTTGACTCATGATCATTCCAGCTTCTATTAAGAGAGACACTCAATGAATTAGATTAAAGGCTCTGAGCTGTACATCAGCTGTGGATTCACGTAATTATTTCCATCAGTCAGCACGCATTTAAAAAAAAAAGACAGACACCAAATCAGAAGCTATTTCAATTTAAGTTGCTCAGTATAGCAGTTCTGAACAAAGCAACTCGGGTTGAAGTTGACACGTACAATTCAACAAAAGAAAAGAAAAAGTGTATTACTAGGGCCAGCTCTAGGTAAAGCTAATTGCTCCTGGCTCCAGTTTCAGAAGCTGTCAGGGTGCAGCCTTGACCTCCCTGGCTCAGTGAGTATACACAGCCACTGTCAACAAGATACCAGCTTCCTTTCTTCCCTCACCTCCCTCCCAGAAATCTAGCGACGCGGCCATATTTGTGGGATTGGTCTCATTTTGAGTTCTACCACAACCTTGGGGCTGGGGATGCAGAGCAGAGCACTGTGGGAAGAGGAGCCACAGGCAGAATGAAGACAGGTGAGTTGATGTACACTGCAGACTGAACCTCATATGGCAATTTCACAGACTGTCCCCCAAAACCCAGGTCAAGCCCTGTTTGTTATAGTCCCTGTGGTACCTAGGGCCCCATTGGCTCATTTCAAATCACTGTCATACATTAGCAGGATTGGAAAGAAAAAAGCCCTCTTCCCTTTCACATCTTCTTCATCTTCTTCTTGCAGCGTTGGTTGAAGACAGGAGAGGATCCCATCAGACTATCAGGGGAATGAGAACCATAGCTGCTCTCCGAGCCATTGGGACTCTGCGGCATCCCTGCTTCACTCATGCCTGACATGGGCTCCTCAAAGACATCGCTGCCTAGGACCCCATGCCCAGCAACATTGCCCTCCTCATTTTCCTGTGGTTCCATTTTCACCTGAGCCAAGTTCCAGAGAGGAGAGGCATTCACCTCGGCAGCACCTGGAGAGAGAGAATACTCATCAGTCACCAAGAATGCATGGGAACAGATGCATTGGTACAAAGGAGAAAGAGCCAAAGCAAGCAAACCCCCAAGGCTGGACTCACAAGGTTGGAGATGGAACAGATGTAAGACAAAGCATATAAAAGCAAGTCTTACTTTGATCCCCTTCCACTTAGGGTAGAGGTTGGCTAAGCCTCCACTGCCTCTCACCTGTTTATACTGCAGCCCTCTGTGAAATTTCCAAGGCAGTGTGTCAGTTTTAGAAGGGCCAGGCACCCTCCAAGAGCTTAGCAGCAGCTGGAGCCAAGAGCAGCAGCATCTAGAGCCAAGAGCACCAAGATCTAGCCAAGATGCCAAACCGCTGCATGGAGTCATGACTTGGAGGACACAGCAGTATCACCAGCGGGTGGTGCCCTTATAGCCTCAGCTGGCCCTATAGCACCAGTAGTGCTAACTCCAAGTGGTTTGAGAGGACACGAGAAATAAGGCACTTCTTTCTTCAGTGATGCCCTGAAGGCCACTCAGGCTGTAAAGACAACATCCCATTGAGATACTGCTGTACCCTCCCCAAGTCCTAGCCCCAAGTCCTAGCCCCATGCAGGAACTGGGCATCTTGGTTAGACGCCTGATGCTTGTGGTAGTAGCTAATGTTGCCGTGTTCTTCCTTCCCTGTGAAGGTGCTTCTTTCCCAGATAGCACCTTCAGTCTCAGAACCTTGGGACATCAGACCTCCACAAATGACCAAAGGACGTCCTACCCTCTAGCACTTGACACCCACAGAAACCACCCCTTCCCCTCCACAGAACATGGAGCAGAGACCTTATGATGGAGGAACACTGAGGTAGCTGTGTATAGTTTGTATTAATTTTAAAAAACCTGATAATTCTAGGTAGGTGCCAACGGGGCTAGTCTGTATAGAAAAAAACCAACAAACTAGCCCGTGGGCCCTATGTCATGTTTTTGAGGAGGAAGAAGGGCAGTTGTTAAGGACCCCAGGAGGTCATAAGGAATTTTAAATAACTGATAAAAAAATTGTTAAAACCTTCATTATTATTGGCCATGCTCATTGGCATAGGTGAACACTGTATGGTCTTCTTAAAGTTCTTCTTCTTTCCAACCCTTCCCTCCTATTGTCTGTTATACTCATTTCTTGCATCTTCTCTTCAGTTACACTGAGTTCAGGTTAGGAAACTGTGACTTCTTAAGTATTCATATAGCACCTAAAACAATGGGGCCCAGAGTTTAATTTGGACTTTTGGGTGCTACCACAATGCACCAAAAAAAAAAAAAAAATCCCCCCGCCCCCCAAAAAAATCATGATTTTTTTAGGAGGACTATGAAAGCTGGGTTAAGGCCCACTAAACTTTTACCCATCTTTCATTTTTATGCTATCTCTTCTAGTTGCATCCAGAAAAGAATTATCCCTGATTTGACCAGAAACAAAAAAGCATCAAGTTACAATCAAGTCTCTTCTCAGAAGATTGGTTATGAGATATGAAGCCTTTTATTTCTTGGTCACTTGGTTCAAACCCTATTCAGGTCAATAGTGATTAAGTCGTCATAATCCGATATCTTTTCAGTGGCCCATATAAAAGGAATTAGGTCAGTACATAATGGCTAAATTTTCCACATCACAAAGGCCAACACTATTACGAAGACAGGCTTTTTTATTCAGATTGATGTGCAACTTTATGGCCTTTTGTGTAAAATTATATCCAAGTTTTTGTTTTCAACACAGTGATGGGTGGATTTTGTTTTGGTTTTGTCCCTAAGAGGTATAATTATAGATTTTGTTATTTCTGCAAATTTATTTTGAAAGAAGACAAAAAAAACCCACTAATGCATCTGATACTAATTGGGCCCCTTGTTGAGTTTTAGCATAACAACCAAGGACTGAATGTAGACTGAAACCTTCTCTGGCTCCTCAAATTTGATCCCTAGAGGTCACATGAAAATAACAAAATGCAGATGCAAACTAAGATGCCAGCTTGGAAGATTTCCAAACCTAGTTTGCAAACTCAAGAACCTTACCTGAAGTTTGAATAAGCATCTGAGTGCTGAGCCAAACATTTTACATTTCCCCTATTACTAGCAGTTATAGAAAGAAAATCCTTCCATTAACATCTCAGTGGTGTATAGGTCTAGGAGCTAGACAACCCTGAAGAACTAGTGTCCAGAACCCTCACTGAAAATCCCCATTGTGTTCATTACAAGTGAAGCGAACCTCTTCTCCACCATGAGGGTATATCATCAACATGCTATCCGTCCTAAAGGTATAAGGCAGCGATGGGGAACCTCAGACTCAGGGGCCAGATGCAGCCCCAGGGGCCAGATGCAGCCCCAGGCTTGCCTAGATCCAGCCCCCAAGGCTCAAGCCCCACCCCCAGCACTGGGGAGCCAGTGCTGGCACTCCAGCTCCCTCCGCTGCCCCACCACGTGGCTGGAGCACACAAAATCTACGAGGCTGGGTCCCACTAGGCTCTGCTTTGCGAGGGCAACATGGGGAGCATCTTTCTCCTTCTCAGTTGGAAGCCACATAAGTGAGGGTTTGGGGGTTTTTTGCTTCTCACTTGTGTGCGGCCCCGACTGATGTTTCTGTAGGTCAGTGGCCCCCGACCCAAAAAAAGGTTCCTCACCCCTGGTTTAAGACTATAGCCCCAGTCTAAGCAACAATCAGAGGGTTTCCTTCTTTCACCAATTTCTCTTCACCCTCAAAGGCTTATTCCCTTTAGCTCCCTTTGTCATTGAGTGTTGTCACCAGCAAATAAAACAACTTACCATTTGCACAGGACATTTCATCTTCAAAGCACGTAACAAATTAACATATTAATCCTCACTACCCTCTCATGGCATGACAAGGAAATAGCGTCCCAATGTTTGTCTCTGTTCCCCCTGCTGCACAGAGATGAAGGGATTTGCCCATGCCCACAGCAACGGACATACTCAGAGGCAGGATTAGAACTCAGGAGCTCCCAGAACCTAGTTTTGTCCACTAGCCACTGGAGACTGCTGCCTCACTAATGGACACCTTCTCATTTTGAAGATGCCCATATCCTAATCCCAATAGCTTCCTCTCCCTCCATCTGATGTGATGCACTCAACACTGCCCATCTCCACAGTGAGAATCCTTTAGAGGGATGTGGTTTCCAGCACACAGAGGCCCTTTTGCAGTGAACAGGGATTTTCAGAGAGGAACAGAACACTTGTATTCATAATTAGAAAACATCAATCTGATATCAGAGGAGCACAAGGCATTTAATATACAGCTAGCATGTTAACCTCTGGGTCTCAAGTGGTAGATGCTAATACCAAGCTTTTTCAGATGAATCATTCATAATCCCTCATGGCCCAGGAGTTCACCATTCCCTCCCCCTCAAAATAAGAGCACTTCACACTTCAGGAACATTGCAGAAAACAATAAAAGCTCCCAGCAAAACATCTGAGGGATTTGTATTTTTTAAAACCCAACAGCATTTAAAACACTAGTAGACTTTTATGTCTAGTCTCTCCTTGGTACACACATAACTTGGATTAAGGTTAATAGAAGAGACCCCATCATTTTTAACTGCATTTCTGAGTGAAACACTTATTTCTGCAGGGAATGGCTCAGTTCCCGTGGCTGTATATATGAATCACAACACAAATTCTTTGAGTAAGGGAGTTATTTGGAATTTTCCAGAGAACTCATAGCTGGGGCATGGTGCTGGATTGCTAGCCAGAGACTGAACTTGTATGGAGATACAGAAGAGGTACAAACACAGGCAGTAGTGGTACAAGACTCTCTCACACCACCAACCACTGTGCCTCAATTCTGATCTTGAGCAATGACTTCAAGGAACAAGAAGGGAGTTCTTTTTTCATGGCTGAACAGTCCTCACTGTCATTGCTGAAGCTACTAGTTGTAGAGGGGGTTTGCGATGTGGACACACATCCACAAGAATGGGACAGAGCTGCCAACCATTTCACAAATGATGAAATGGACAGTCAGAAGATGATGACAATCAATTGACTGAGGCCAAATTCAATCCTGGAGGTAAGCTCTGAGTCCCATTAACAATTTTTTACTCAACCAGTTCCCCATTTCCTCATTATCTGGTTCTTGCCCTTATTCCCATAACAAAGAACGTGGACGACAGGTTTTCAATTACATGAAGTTCTGGCCTCCAGTCACGGGCCAGTTTGATGAGTGTATTGAGCAGTGTAAAATGTCACAAGAAACTAACAAAGTAGTAGCTTTCCCAGCAGTCAACTGGCAGAACAAACTGGACAAGCCCAAACAAATCCAGCAACAAACATCCTCAGACAAGCAACAAGCCCCGCGTTTCAAGAGAGACCGTTTCTGTGCTGTTTGTTTCAGGAAGCGGTGATCTTCTGGAACCTACTCAGAACCAGAAAATCAACTGGATTCTTTTTGTAATTGTTTATTCATTAGGAATAAGAATAAAAAGCAGTGGGTTACGGTTTTTGCTTCATATGTAAAAGGAAAGTCTGTTGGCTCTCCTCTTATAAACATTTCACAAGTGTTCAGAAGTATTTTCCCTTTGTTACACTGGCCTGGAAGAAGGTTACCTTTATTCAAACATATACTACCATAATACTGAGCTAGTAGCAGCAAACACTTGAGTAATATTATTGTAAGTTTCAGTGCTTGAACCATTACTGTAAGATATAAAACACCATAAGGGCTTACACCCTTTCAGTGACTGCAGCCATTGCTGTAAACTATTTTCTACTGTATTCTTTTGATGCTGGCACAATGGCTGCTATTATTAGAGTAACATTAGTGTGAACTCTGCATCTTGCAGTATTACTGCAGAATACTCCCATCCGTTTGTAGCCAATCCATCCCCAGCACTTCATTAACTGCATTTCATTTTCCTCCATTTTGTATCTTGTGTTTGTGCAAGATTATAACCCAACCTTATTGCAGCTAGTTAATTTCAAATAGAACCCTCCTCCCACATGACCAAAGCCAACCCGCATCAGCTGTGGCATTGCTAATGAGGCCATTTGGAAAAGCTGAGGGAGTGTTTACAACAGCAGGCTGCCCCTTACCTGAAGCCTGTGGGGATGCCTCTACTTCCAGATTGGCAGAAAAACGCTCACTCTGAGCTCCAAGGACACCCACAGGCAAAGACTGGTCGCCAGATGCCAGATCTCCCTCCAGCTCTTCGCTTATGGGGAAGGTGATATCGCTGACTGGCTCCTCCTTGATCTTCACGGGTTTGGTGTCTTCTGCTGCCTTTTCGGGGTTGACAATCTTCTCATATTCTTCTGAGAGCTGTTTGCTAACCTGCCAGTGATCATTGGAGACAACAAGGCTGGATTTTTCAGACAAAGCAGAACAGGCAACTGTGTTGCGGAGTTCCTTCTCCTCAACAGATTACTGGCCTCTAATGAAATAAAATGGGCACTCCACTGCAGATAAATTATATAAATTAGGGCTGTTAAAAAATAGTGTAATAGGGTAACTGTGTTACCTTCCTTCTCTCCTTCATTGGGCTGACTCATTCTTCTGGACAGACACACAATTTCCTTAGAGGCAGGGCAAACTGCTACCACAGTTCTCTTAGCTTCTTGCCAGCCCACCCATGATGGTTACTATCTTCTGGTTGTTTTATCTTAAACCCTCCCTGATTCCCCTCCCTCCCCAAATAAACGCTCTAGTTGAAAATTAACTCACTGAGCCAGACAGTTCTCTATACAGTAATTCCTCATTTAACACTATAGATATGTTTCAGAAAATGATCATGTTAAGTGAAAACGTGTTATGAGGAGTCAATTGTCCCATTGAAAATAATGGAAAAGGTGGGGGTTGCGTTTCAAGCGGTGGTGTCTGTTGAGACCGGGACATAAGGTTGGGGGGAAAAGGGGACTGGGTTACAGCAGGGAGGGGAGGTGTTTAGCTCTGGGTAAGGGAAGGGGAGGAGAGGGGATGGGGATGGGTTGGGAGTTATGGCCCTGTGATGGGTCTGCCAGGACCCGCACTGCGCCCGGCGAGGGGAAGGGTCTCTGGGGAACGGTGCAGCGAGCGACAAACCCTCCGCCACTTTACAGGGAGGCAGGGGAAGCCCCGCACAGCTGCCAGCAATGGGCCAGTGGGGGAAATCGTGTTATTCCAGGGACAGTTATGTAATTCAAAAAAATTCCCTAAAAAAAACCCGTGCTATCGCAAAAACATGTTAAACAGGCCTGTGTTAAATGAGGAATTACTGTACAGCAACAAAAGATTGCACTAAGAGTGCATTAAGCAGCATTTTTGACATCTTAAACCTCACCTGCAGCATGTAGCTGTGATAATCCTTAATGCGATGCTGCCAGAACTTCTGCAGGGAGAGCACACTGCCAATGCCCACTTCATGGAACACCTGTTCCATCACATCCGGGAAAGGCGTCTGCCCAAGTCGAGCTTCTCGGTCCACAGCAAAGCGCAGCAACTTGGTAAACTTCAAGCAGTACTCATGAGCAATGTCTGTCAAGGTCTCCAGGACACTCTCATTGGCACATTCGAACCCCGCATGCGCCAAGATGGTGGCCATGGACTGGTAGAGAAGCTGCCGGCAGGAGGTCCAACTCAGCTCAGTTACTGGTTCCCCTTTCCCTCTAAAAGAAGAGAGGACAACATGAACAGGCCTTCACCCACCTCAGGAAAATAGGAAACAGGGAAAAAAGATTGACTGTTAAAGGGTTTGTACCATTATCATCAGAAGTGAGTGGAAAAGGAAAAGCAGATGGGTCCTTCATGGCATCTCTGTTGTGTATGGAGGAGACCTAGAAGGTTTCTGGCTGCTTCCCTCCGCCCTCCCCCTTACAAACATCAGGAATGTCAAATCTCATCTTTCTTTATTATATTGGAAAACTCTTTGGGTGACTCAAATGCAGACTGAGCTTTCTCATCCCTTAATTAAACCAAGAACTTCTCTCCCAGAGGTCTGATTTAAACAGGTGTTTAATACACACAAAAGGAGTTTTAACAACCTACATGCAAATCTCTTCCCCCTCAGTTAATCAGATTTTACTTCTTTGTTAGCTCTCGAATGTCACAGACCTATTAGTTCTCTAGTCATCCACAAAGGCTTCCAAAGCAGACAAAATGTATGTTTGTAATGTGAAAAACAAGCATACCCAATTTTTCCAGGCCACCTCTAAGCAATGCACTAGGTGATACAGCCAGAGGTGGCAGGCTTGCAGAAATTTTGGTGGTGCAGGCTCTGGGCATTCTGTGCACCACCTTCCCATTCAAATTCCCTCCCCTGTCTCAGGCTTCAGGAGGGAATTTGGGTGGAGGAGGGGAGTCCAGGCTCTGGGAAGGATTTTGGGTACTGGATGCAGGCTCTGGAATAGGACAGGGGATTGCAGTGCAGGAGGGGGTTCAAGTTCTGGGAGAGAGTCTGGGTGCAGGAGTGAGCTGTCAAGGTCTGAGAGGGATGTGGGTGTGGGAAGGTCTGAGGTGCAGGCTCAGGGACGGAGTGTGGGAGCTGGGTGCAAGCTCTGGGCTGGGGCAGGGAGTGGGGGTGTAGGAGGGAGTAGGAGTGATGGAGGGGGTGGAGGTACAGGCTCTGGGAGGGAGTTTGGGGGCAAGAGGGGGTGCGGGGAAGGGGAATCTGGCTCAGGGAAGGAGTGGGGTATGCAAGAAGGGACAGAGGGTGGGGGGATGCAACACTTACCTGGGGCTCCCAAGCAGAGGGATTCTTCCTGGCTGCAAGGATACTCAGGTGGGGGCAGTGCACAGAGACACCCCACCCCCCAATGGGACCGGAGGAATGTGCCAGCAGTGGCACAGAGGTAGTGGCAAGAAGCCGCTCAAGCCCTGCTACACTGCTGGAAGTGGCAGAGAGGGGCCCTGGGCTATTTTAAATCGCCTGCGAGCAGCAAGCAGAGCTGGGGAACACACAGAGGGGAACAGGCTGGGGAACACACGGGGGGAAGAGGAGGGTAGCACACAGCAGTGGCAAGCAGGGCCAGGAAAGAGACCCAGCCCTAAACTTTGGTTGAGCAGGGTCCCTGGACCAGGAATACTCCTGGTACCCAGGCATCACAGGCCCATAAAACTCACCACCTACTATGGCTATAAAAGAAGCAGGAAGAGAGAGACAATACAATTTGCAATGTACAACAAAGCATGCTGGAAGATCCAGAGAAAGGCTCTGTCTTACAGCAGGGATTGACAGCCTGGGCATTGTGACCACCCAGGGTCCTAGGTATAGCAAGATGGGAAGCAAAGAGTATGGGGTGGTCTCAGTATGGGAGGGGCTAAGAACCACTGGCTTATAACACACTATTCTCACAATGAGTAGGTGATAATTGTTTTTAACTGAAGCAGGTTAGCATTTGACAGTTTCACAGGGGGGAAAGAAAGCTTTGAGGAATTTGAAAGACAAAAGAGCATGGGACTGGTCCATCAGACTTCAGAATTCATAGCTTCTGCTCACCTGGCATGGTTTTTGTTTGCTTTTTAATACTTCACTCAGCTCCAATGTTTAAACTAAACCAGACAATTTCATTCTCAGTTTCTTTTTCTGATCTCCTTACACGCCCACTTTCTAAATTTGACACTTCCTTTACTGGAAAAACTTAAACAATGAATAGTCTAGTAGCACTTTAAAGACTAACAAAACATGTAGCTGGTATCATGAGCTTTCGTGGGCACAAGAAGTGGGTTGTGCCCACGAAAGCTCCTGGTCCCATCTACATATTTTGTTAGTCTTTAAGGTGCTACTAGACCAGTGGTCCCCAACCTTTTTGTGGCCAATAGCACATTCATGTTTTCAGAAGTGTGTGGCGGGCACTAGCAATTTTTCAAGGGGCGCCGGGCAGGGCTGCCGGGCTGGGCATGCACCGTGCTCCCAGGGCCCAAGAATGGCTCGGGACGGCCCTGGTCATTAGACGAGCGCACATAAATGCCCCAGAGGGTTCCATGGCACCCGCGGGCACCGCGTTGTGGACCACAGTACTAGACTATTTGTTGTTTTTTAAGTTTTTCCTGTTACAGACTAACTCGTCTACCCCTCTGAAACTTCCTTTACAGTCACACTACCCAGTGTTTCCTATAACTCACCACTGGTTGATACTTTACAACTACCGTCTGATAACCGCCTAGCGGGCTATGTAAGAGATTGGCCTCACTGCAATGCCTAGCGCTTAGGTATCTACACCACAGAACATGCATCACAACTGGCATCTTCTAGTCTCAGAAAAAAATGCATGGACCACAAGCTTCAGCTCCCCCGATCCTTAAAGAGGGCCCTGCCAAAAAAGACTGAGCCATAATAGCAAAGAGTATGTGCAGGTCAGGAAGTGAGAGGGAAGCTTGCACAATTGCTACCAGTACTAAAACCCTTCTGGGATACTTAGCGGGCTCCATATGCCAGACTCTCAATATCTTTTGCTAGTATGAAATGCATTTACATTTTTAAAAAGATAAAGAAAAAAATTAACAATGTAAGTCTCAGATCGGAGTATTACCTGGGGGAATAAGAAAAGCTGTGTAGACCTCAGTTCATTAATTCTCCCTACTTATTACACTCTGAAGTGACTCTTCTCAATTGTTATTTATGTCTTCTGTCTTCGAATGGAGAAAGCAGGTGCTCTACTACGCCAACTGAAAAATAATCTAGTTTTTCTATAAGCCCAAGCATCAGCCATACTGCTCTATCCCCTTTTTGTATTGCTGTCCTCTTAAATAACTCCCAGAGAGCTCTATACTTCTTACAACATCAGCACAAGAGGGGACAGGGGCCTAGTTCTCCACTTTCTTCCATTGTGGAAAAAAACAGTGGTAGAGCCAGGGACTGGTCTTTTTTTTTCTTTCTGTTTTTTAAGGTGAGTAGATGAGCATGATTAAGTGTAGCTAGTAGCTGTCAAATGAGGCACTTTGCAAGCTTCAACTTATACACTCGAGACATAATTCAGTTAGCCAATTTAGGATACATCCCCACCTACAGCTACTGTTTAACAATGCATGGCAACATTCAGCAGCAAAGAAGAACACTATATCTATTTGAAATTTCAGGAACAGAATCTAATTACCAAATTAGAATGTGGCCAAGACACTGAGGTCAAAGGAATATAGTCAATGTAAAATCTAATCCATTTAGAGAGCAAAAGAAGGACAGTTTCCAGGTACTGTCCCTCTCTTTGTGTCTCCATCTCAATTTATATGTAGTTTCATGAATACGGTTTCCTGGTTGTTTTTTGTTTTGAAAGGTTTGAAGGAACAACAGGAGATGATGAATGAATTAGTTATACAGGGCAAATAGCGAAACTTCCTATAGCCAAAGTGCTGTCAAACACCCAGTATAAACAGACTGGAGGGCGTAGGGGGAGAAAAAATTCCCCCACTCACCTCCTTTGAGTTATAGTCACATTTGCCAGTGTTTGTATCAACAGGAAAACATTTTCAGGCAGAAGGGTGAGTTTTAAGTTGAATGTGTCCCTGTAGCAACAAACATTTGCAAAAAAGGCCATTAGATTTTTTTTTTCATTTTTTAAATGATCATAACTAGTAAGAACCTTGGCTTTACATCTCATTCAAAGTTTGGCATCTCCAGAAACACAGCACTCCTAAACACTTAACCACTACAGACTTTAACAGCAGAATGTCACTTCCTACAGCTTCTAATGCTTTCCATGAAGCATCCAGCTATCAACCAAATCTGAGCCTGCTTTTCACCTAATCAGTGTCCCAGACATGCTTGTGTGTAATTTGGAGGCTTAGAATGTGAATAGCTCTGCAGAAAAGGATCTAAACTATTTTCAGTATCACAAGTACCAGAGTTGTTAACTCGAGTCCCACAACCTGAACTCGAGTTCGACTTAAGCCGCCTAGGTGACTCGACTTGAGACTCGACTCAGGTTCATTGTTTGTGACTTGAGACTTGCTAATTTTGTTAAATTGACTTGGTGGAAAAATTGTCAGAAAATGCTGATATTGATGGCTTGTACAAAAGTGACTTGACATTTTTTAAATTAAGACTTGAGACTCGACTTGGGACTTGACTCGAAAGTGACTTTAGGGACTCGAGACTCGACTTGAGACTTGAACTGTAGTGACTTGAGACTCGACTTAGACTTGACAATGACAACTTGAAGACAACACTGACAATTACTATGAGCTACTGGCACACAATAATAGATCCTCACTTGCATCACAAGTCTAAATAAAGATCTACAAACACTTCTACATTTTTATGGGAGACAATATGAAGGAAAAAACATCTACCCAAGAATATATAAACTGAAATGTTGGTTTCTCCCCACTCCCATCAATGGGCCTGTAATGTACAGAATATCAGTTCAGAGCCAACTGACAGATCTGATCAATCAAAATTAGCCTTCAGAGTTAATGAGGTTGCCAATCTTATAAAATGGCACTGTTTTACCCACAAAAGCTTATGCCCTATTAGACTCTAAGGTTCCAAAGGACTCCTTGTTGTTTTTGCAGGTATAGACTAACATGGCTACCCCTCTGAGACATTTTCTGTAGCAGTCTCTTAACATGACTGCATGCCCCCATATGAAGCAATCAAAAAGTGTTCTTGTGTCCAAGCTCCTTTCTAGGAAGGCCATTTCCTTTAAAGGAAGGAAAATCTTGCGGGCCATTG